CTTTGTTTAACACAGAAGCAGTATCTGAGAAAGGTATTACAATGTTTTGGCATGAATGAAAATACCAAACATGTAAGTATCCCACTGGCTTCTCATTTGAAACTTAGTTCTCAATTATCTCCTAAAACTAACAAAGAACGAGAGTATATGGCAAAAGTTCCATATGCTAATGCAGTTGGGAGCTTGATGTATACAATGGTGTGTACGCGTCCTGACCTTTCACAAGCAATTGGAGTTGTGAGCATGTACATGCATAATCCTGGAGAATGACATTGGCAAGCTGTGAAATGGATTCTACGGTATCTCTAATAAACTGTGGATGTTGGTTTAGTTTTTGAACAGGATGAAGCACTTGGTCAGTATGTGGTTGGATATGCTTATTCTGATTATGCTGGTGATTTGGATAAGCGTCGATCAACTACTGGGTATTTGTTTACTCTTGCTAAAGCCCCAGTAAGTTGGAAGTCTACATTGCAATCTACTGTGGCCTTGTCTACTACAGAGGCATAATACATGTCAGTTTCAGAGGTTGTAAAGGAAATAATTTGGCTTAACGGGTTGATGGAAGACTTGGGAGTTTTTCAAAGTCACATTAGTCTCTATTGTGACAGTTAGAGTGATATTCACTTAGCGAAAAATCAAGTCTACCATTCAAGGACTAAGCATATCGATGTGAGGTATCACTTTGTGCGGGAGATCTTTAAAGAAGGAAAGATTTTACTTCAGAAAATTGTGACATTAGAAAATCCTGCAGATATGATGACCAAGGTGGTAACAGTAATCAAGTTCAATCATTGTTTGAACTTGATTAACATCCTGAAAGTATGAACACCTTCGGGTGTGTGGCGTTTGTGAGCGCAATTAGAGGCACTACAAATTTGGGGAGTTGAAGAAGTTGAGTAGGCTTGGTAATTTCAAGCCAAGATGGAGATTTGTTAGATTTGGCTTGAAATTAAGTTGGCAAATTGGAAATTTCATCTTGGTTGGTGGCCAACTTATTGGAAATTTCATCTTGATTGGTAGCCAAACTTTAAACATGGGAATTTCATATTTGGTGGCTAACTTGTACACATTGGAAAATTCTTTGGTAGATGGCCAAACTTTGAACATGGGAATTCCATATGTGATCCCTAAAATATTAGGTTATTTATAAGTTTAGTCCTTAAAACTCAACTATAAATAGGCCTAAGTATTTCCATTAGAAATCATCCCAAAACAAGTTCTCTCTTCCATTTGTTTTCTTCATTCTCTCACTTTGGGAATTCTAAAGAATTCCATTTGTTGTAATATTTTTGTTGATAGTGAAGTTATCATCCGATGTGGTGCCCGAGCAGTAGACGATATTCTCGTTGAACCTCGTAAATTTGGTGTGTTTTCTCCTTTATTGTTTTTTCTTCGGTTTTTCCATTGTGTTTCAAATATTCAATAGTTTGACAGGTTTATCTACTGTGCAACCTTTGGTGGTTTTGATATTGACATTTTAGGTTAATTTTGAAACTACGTTCGTGTGGAAAATAACCCAGTTTCCCTAATATGTTCCTTATGATAAGGTTCCCCTCCACAAGATGACCAGATAAGGGATAACATAGAATTTATGTCTCAACCTCAAGATCTAAGAGGACAGGAGTGAAAGAACTAAATGATGATTTTACATAGACGGATCGATGATTTGTGCACTATTGGCAATCCTGAAACAAGTTGGGTTGAGGAAGAGCGAAACCCCCTCATGCCCACGTACAAGTTACTCCATGCCCTCTAAACTTTAAACTCCCCAAAGAGACCTACGATGGGATCAGGGACCTCGCTGAACACCTATCTCTATATAGAGAATACATGGATATAATAAGAGCCTCGCTGAAGAGCCTCTGATGATGGACTCCATGCCCGCGACATAAATATGAGACTTTAGGTAGTTTTTTAACTTATTTATGTGTGTGTCAGATTATTGTTACTTCCTTAGCAAACCACAATCAAATGACACTATTGTTAAAAGTTAGTAGTAGTCCATATTAAATCAGTACAATTTTGATCATATTAATATCGATCATACTCCTATTAAATCGATATGAAATATTTAAGTTTTATTTCGATCCAAATTATAATAATTTCTGTCATTTTGAAATATTTTAGCCCATTTAAATTAACCTCAGCTTGTGTCGGCACATATCATCTCATATTAATTAATACGCATTTTAATATTTAAACTTTTTAATTTATCATTTTACCTATTTTTAATTCTATATAATTATATTTAAAAATATAAACACTTAATCAATTTAATTAATAATTTAAAGATATATTTTTCTATAATTATTTATATATTTATAAATAATTTTTAAAATTTACAAAGATATATAATTCCTTATCTTATATAGAATACATCAAATATTTTATACATCAAATATGATGGGGTCCAATAATACCGTGGTTTTCCACTCGGTAACGAGCTTTATAAAACGAGAAACGTTCAATCCAAATTATAATAATTCAAGTTATGAACTAACCATACTCCAACTTTCTTCAAAACCAGACCCTTTCCCTCCTCCATGAATATGGCATTTTCTGCCGCCAAACGCCACCGCCACCTCAACTTCCTCCTCCTCTTCGCTCTCTTTTCTCTGTTCTTCACGTCCTATGCAAGGCTGGCTCTTGTCCAGTCAGACTCAAAAGCTCTTTCCGCCATTGTTAAAGACCTTGGCATCAATAGTCAACGCTTCCCTGCCACTAATCCTTGCACCGCAGCCGGCGTTTTCTGCGAACGGAGGCTCTCCGAAAACGAAACTTACGTTCTCAAAATCTCCAGGCTCGTGTTTAAATCCAAAGGGCTCGATGGATTCTTATCGCCTGAAATCGGGAAGCTTACCGAGCTCAAAGAGCTGACTGTTTCTCACAACAATATCGTTGATCAAATCCCGACCGAAATCGTTGATTGTAAAAAACTCGAAGTTCTTGATCTCAAAAACAATATGTTGGGTGGTGAAATACCATTGAATTTGTCTTCTTTGATCCGTCTTCGAGTTCTCGATCTTTCGTTCAATAAGTTCACTGGCGACTTGAGTTTCTTGAAGCATTTTCCCAACCTGGAAAGTCTTTCCCTTGCAAACAATCAGTTTTCCGGGAAAATCCCACCATCGATACGTTCATTTCGAAACCTTCGATTCTTCGACTTTTCCGGAAACATTTTCCTTGAAGGTTCAGCTCCATTGATGAGCAAAGCCGACGATGCCTCAGTTTCGAGGTACCCGAAACGGTACATGTTTGCTGAGGGAGCTGATCCAAGAAGCAGTAATGAAAGTCGATCTTCAGCTCCGTCACCTCATGGAAGAACCCCCGCAGCTGCTCGAGCTCCTGCACCCAGTCCATCAACACCACCCCATCACAAACACAATGGTCATAAGAAACTATTGGGATGGGTTTTTGGGTTCCTCGCCGGAGGGTCAGCCGGGAGTTTTTCCGCGTTTATCTTCTCGATGATGTTTAGGCTGGCCATTGAAACTGTTAGAGGAAGAGGCAAAGATTTGGGTCCATCGATTTTCAGTCCATTGATAAAGAAAGCTGAGGATTTAGCATTTTTGGAGAAAGACGATGGGTTGGATTCATTGGAGATCATAGGCAAAGGAGGGTGTGGGGAAGTTTACAAAGCTGAATTACCTGGAAGTAATGGAAAAATGATTGCTATTAAGAAGATCATTCAGCCTCCAAAAGATGCAGCTGAATTGACTGATGAAGATAGCAAGCTTCTGCACAAGAAAATGCGTCAAATCCGATCGGAGATCACCACCGTTGGTCATATTCGACACCGGAATCTCCTTTCTTTGTTGGCTCATGTTTCTCGACCCGACTGCCATTTACTTATTTACGAGTTTATGAAGAATGGAAGCTTACAAGATCTTTTGCATCAAGTTTCCGAAGGTACAAGGGAGCTCGATTGGCCTGCTCGGCAAAGGATCGCTGTCGGAATTGCAGCAGGACTTGAATATCTGCATATGCACCATAGTCCCCGGATCATTCACAGAGATCTGAAACCGGGAAACATCCTTCTTGATGATGATATGGAAGCCAGAATAGCGGATTTCGGGCTGGCAAAAACAATGCCTGATGCAAACACACATGTAACCACATCGAATTTGGCGGGCACGGTCGGATACATAGCACCGGAATATCATCAAACACTCAAGTTCACCGACAAGTGCGATATCTACAGCTTCGGGGTTATACTCTGTGTTCTGGTGATGGGAAAGCTTCCGTCTGATGAGTTCTTTCAACACACCGATGAAATGAGCCTCGTGAAATGGATGAGAAACATAATAGTATCGGAAAATCCGAGCCTAGCCATAGACTCTAAACTTCTTGGAAACGGGTATGATGAACAAATTATTCTGGTCCTCAGAATTGCTTACTTTTGCACTTTGGATGATCCAAAGGATAGACCCAGCAGTAAGGATGTTAGATGCATGTTGTCTCAGATCAAGAACTAGTCCCAGCAAGGCAACAATGTTTAAAGCTATGATCATGCAAGAAGATCAAGACTATTAGAATAATTACTAGTTTATTTTTAATGTCCAATTGGCTTTTTTCTGCATACGATCCTAATATGTAACATAATTGTAATGCTTGTAAGAAGTATACTCTGGCTTTTGAGTTGCCTATCTAAGTTAAAATTGTGTTGATTAAATTTAACATTCAAAACTCTTTCCTTTTGCTTTTCGACTTTTCCTTATTGATCTTTTTACGGTTTAAGCCAATTTTCTGATTTAATTTATTGTTCGAGATCGAAAACATGACCAATAGAATACCCGGTTGAACCAGCCGGTCCATTCTTTTTTTCCTTTTAAATCACTGAACATAGGTTCATCTGTAAATCTTTTCAATGAATGAGAAGTAGCGTGACGAGTTCGAGAATACGACCAACAGGCTAGCTTTCTGCACCATCAATATAGATCAAAACAATTACTTAGGTTCACAGGTGTAATAAAATGTCCCCAAACGTAGGAGGATGTCAACTAAAATCGAACTCAATTAATGCTGCAGAAAGTTCAAAGAAAACAAACTTGGAAGATATACTTTATACTGAACTACTACTAGCGCAAGAAAGTCTATTCCCTACATACAAAATGGGAAAACAATCCGACCGTACTACTTACGTGCTGATGTAGAGATACCGCATCTATGTCTATTAGTTCCAACGGATGAATAAGCAAGCTGAGCCCTGATACAAAAGAGTTTAATGAAAGTTTCAGCTTTCTTCAATCAAAGCAGTTAACGGGACGATATCCCAGCATCTAGTAACTACAATCAAATAACTCCAGGTCTAGCTTTATTTTCTATTAAACAATCAATGGAATATTGAACAACAAATATCAGGCATTAGTTATGATTTCGCTCCACGTTATGTATCACAATTAGCCAATGGTAAATACAAACTTGCTCGATGAATGAGAAACCTATAAAATTCTGTCATTTTCAGCTAACAGTTTTATAGCACATTGTCAATTACCAGAGCAGAAGAATACAAAAACATGCAACAAGTTTCGAAACTGCAAGCAATAACTAGCAGTAGTATGAACCAACATTGTTTATCTTGGCCAACTAATAAAACCGATTTGTTCCGCATCAAGACATTAAGATTTGCAGAGAAAATTATGGTGCAATAGGAACATATGACTGTTTCCTTTTCATTGACAATAAATTTTCCGAAGAAACATCACAATAAACCATTAGCATTATTCTTCAAATGCATCATTCAACAGGGTAAAAGCTTCTATACATTATCATGCAACATCACCAAAAACTAACAGGCAATACCCATGGTAACTTGAAGATGCAGTGGGTTTAATTTCAATCAACTAAGCTTCAATCACAACACCCAATTCATCACATTCCAACACATATCCAGATATAAGTATAGGATCTAAACAAAATATTCCAAGGATCTTCAAAATGTATGAAAAATTGAACATGTTCTGCACTCGAACCCGAGTAACATGATATTCTAGTTTTCCACTCTCTACCAAGTCCTATTCTTACCAGATCGAAAAAAAAAAACAGCCTAATTAAACAATTTGCTTCACTTTTTGTGTGTGTGCAAAAGTCATACATAAAAAGAGCCAAGGTATTAATCAATAATTACCCTTAAAAATCAAGAAGTAATTAAGGAAGAATCCTTTCTAAGTGAGTTGGTTCAATCTTAGTGCTACCCTCAGCTTCAGCAATTGTACCAGCTCGCTGGACAGCCTCTGTGTTCAAAACAAAAATGGTGTTTGTTTATTTTAAATTTTAATCAAAGTTCAGAAATGAACACGAAAATTTTCACCAAAAAAAAAACCTGTGACAAAAACCCGAAGAAGTTCACAACTCTGCTTTAAAGCATTTGCATTAGCATTAGCTGCAATCAAATAAACAGTTTAAAATTTGTTAACAAAAAGATTCAATTTTCGTTTTATCGAAGAGATTACCAGAAGTGGGTCGATTCTTCTTCGATGTTCCCGCTCCAACCTAAAATTTAACGAACCCAAAAAAGAATAAAAGAAGGAAAAATAAACGATGTTAAGAATTTGGAAAAATATGAAAGAAAATGGAAGGGTACCTCGGAATCTACAGCCTCGCTGTTTGGGAATTCGTTTCTTTCACGCTCTGGAATGGAATCAATCAAAAACACTTAAATACTTGAAGTGAGAAAACAAAAATGGAAGGGGGAATAGGCGAGAGGGAATTGTTGCAATGATTTCGAATGGAAGACAGAAAGGATTTAAGAAAACAGAGAAGAATAAGAACATAATATTTTCATTCATAATTTCCTTTATTTTTACAACTATTATATAGGAATTTGTTAATAATTTAGTGTCAGTTGTATTGTTATTGTATAACAATAAGATTCCTTTTAATTGATTTTATCTTTAAAATTTCATGGTAGGTTGTTGGGCTCATTTTCTTCACTTTGGGCTATTTTTCTCTGGTCCACTCTCATCTGATCCAGGTAGCCCGTTCTTCTCTTCAGATATATTTTTTGCTCCCACTTGATCCGTCAAATTAAATCTATTTTTTTCCCCCCTAAAAACCCTAATTCTCTCATTTTCCCTAATTCCTTCTCATCCCTCTCTATTTATGCCTTATGGTTCATGACAATACCCCCAGTTGCAATCGATGCTTGTCCCCAAGGATCAAAATCAAGAAATTGAGAGCGAAGCACCGCGATATCTTCCCAAGTAGCGTTTTCCACCCCTAAATTCGACCACTGTATGAGCAGTTGAGTTACTGCCTTGTTGTTTCATTTGATAACACGCTTATATAAAATAATCGCACGATAAACCTGCAGTTGGCCATCAGATGTAAGTTCATGTGGGTCTGTGGAAACAACATCTTTGTTTCCAATTTTTTTCTTCAAAAGGCTAACGTGAAATACTAGATGTAGCCTAGAATGAGTTGGTAATTCCAGTTGATAAGCGACTGACCCAATTCTCTTTGTGATTTTATAAGGACCATAATAACGAGCAAATAACTTCAGATTCTTGCGCAAGCCTAAAGAAGTATGTTTATAAGGTTGAAGTTTAACGTACACTTCATCTCCTTCTTTAAACTCTCGATCACTACGCTTTTTATCTGCATAATGCTTCATTCGATTATGTGCCTTGGTAAGTTGATCGAGTAGTATACTGTTTACATTATCCCTTTCTTGCATAAATTGGTGCACATCAGTCACTCGTGATTCAGTCACCCAGGTCATTGTAGGTGGTGTATAACCATATAGGGCAGTAAAGGGAATAGTACCCAAAGCTGAATGAAAACTAGTGTTGTACCACCATTCGGCATGAGAAATCCACTTAGCCCAAGAATTTGGCTTTAAAAAACAAAGGCCTCTTAAGTACTGCTCTAAGTATTGATTAAGCCTCTCTGTATGGCTATCCGTTTGAGGATGATAAGCAATTGTAAACAGAGATGTAGTCCCTAATAACTTCAGTAGCTCCTTCCAAAATATACTAGTGAAAATTTTGTCTCGATCAGAAAGAACAACTTTAGGTTGACCATGAAGTTTGTAGACCTGATCTAGGTAAACTTTAGCAACTTCATGAGCTGTGAAGGGATGAACCAGGGGTAAAAAGTGCCCATATTTGGTGAATTTGTCAATGATCACCAAAATAGAATTGTATCTATTAGAAATATGCAAACCTTCAATAAAATCCATGGTGATAAACTCCCAAGCTTGCTGTGGAATAGGTAAAGGTTGTAGTAGCCTTGGCTGTAGGACATGTTCAGTTTTAATTCTTTGGCAAACATCACATTGTTGAACATATTGTTTAACCAATGTTTTCATGCCCTTCCAATAAAAATATAGCTTTATTTGATGGTAAGTAGCTTGTATCCCAGAGTGTCCCCCTTGTGGTGAATCATGAAGTGTAGCCAGGAGCTAATTCCTTAAACCACCTGTCTCATAAATATATACTCTGCCTTTATATCGTAAGACACCCTTAGTGTAAGACCAAAGTGGCATATTCTGATTACCAAGTAGCAACTTAGGAATTAAATCCATAGCAAAAGAATCCCCTTCATAACTGTTTTCAACTTCATTTACCCAAGCAGGAATTATTATTGTTGTAGATAACTGATGTAATTTAAAAGTTTCCTCAAACCTCCTTGATAAAGCATCAACAGCTTTATTGTGTTTCCCTTTGCGAAATTGTATGGAGTAGTCTAATCCCAACAGTTTAGTAAGACCCTTCTTTTGAATAATAATAGTGAGTTTTTGCTCTAGCAAATGCTTCAAAGACTCATGATCTGTTTTGATTATAAATGGACCTCCTTCTAGATAGTGTCTCCATTTAGAGATAGCCATTAGAATGGCTAACTATTCTTTCTCATAGATGGACAAGTCAACCTGCTTTGGTCCCAAAGCTTTACTAAGATAAGCAATCGGCCTACCCTCCTAAGATAGAACTACCCCTATACCTTTGGAACTGTAACACCCCAACCCGTATCCGACCCAAATACGAGTCTAAGATGTCACATTGACATTTCAAAACCTTTTTCTTACAAAATATCAAGACATTTGAATTCTTTTTAAGAAAATATGGTAATATATTGTTGAATCATGTTTGTTATAACCAATTTAAGAAAATATACGTTTTATGAACAGTAAAATATGGTATGAATAATGAATAGTATCATATGAACAGTAGTGAACAGTACCGTGAACAATAACCTGCTACAATATCAAAATGTTAAATTTTCCAGATTACAAATAGGGAACCGATTCCCCTGCTACAGGGAACCGATTCCCATGTTGTAGTACTGCTACAGTACTGCTATAGTAATTTTCATAAAATACGTATAAATTCATAAAAATCTAAGGTTTCATCCGTATAAAATTACCATTTACATATACACATTTAAAACATTACAAAATTCCATCATATAATTTTTACAAAACCAATTGAAACATATTGAATTTAAATCTTTGTTTACATGTCAACCACTATAATTATTACAAAATACATACTCTTAACTTCTTTTCTGATCTGATCTTTTGGAAAGGAGAACTGACATGTCTTGCATAACTCTTATCAATCTTCCTCTTCTCGGAACCTACGCGTGAAACAATCACACGCTAAGTCGTTGACTTAATGAGGCATATAAAATATAATTATATGCTAATTGTAACTTCTACAATGCATGAACATTTGATATTACCTTATCATACCAAAGTATATATTCTTTTCTGTAATATATACATACATACATACACATATAATGTAACATAACATCATTAACATGCTTATCATTTCTCATTTTATCATCACTAATTTCTTTATATACCATATCAACATATAATGTAAACTCTAAATCATATCATTGCATAAATAATTACCAATCTCATATAACAAATACATTTCACTTAGAAATACACACAATATCATATATGAATCTTGTAAATACTTTTGATGTCTTTTATAGGCCCATGTACATTACTGAGAACTCAAGGTATGTGAGTACTGTGAGGTTGTGCACTATGCTGTCACCACAGCTCGTATAAATTTGCACCGTAGTGCCACATAGAATTTGTCCCGAAGGACTGCGTAGAAATGCACCGAAGTGCCACGTAGAATTGCACCGTAGTGCCATATAATATGTCCCTAAGGACCACATAGAAATTCCTTAAGAATCATATACATATACCAAGGATCAAGTAGGTGTCTCAAAAGACCTCATACATGCTCCAAAGAATACATATACGTCCCGAAGGACCACGTAGAATTTATCTTGAAGGACCACGTAGAATTTATCTTGAAGGACCGCGTAGACCCTCTACTCTTTGCATGCCAACTATACCTCTCGATCTCATAACACATAATATGGGTATTATCTTTCATATTTATTACATATTCATATCGGCACATAGTTCACTTACGCGTAGAACATTTTCATATGATTCATATTCACATGTCACATAGCTTATACCTTGGTCTTATGTCTTCTCATAGACATATATTCTTTCTCACGTAGTCACATAGATCCATATCATATAACATATATCACATGTTCATGTAATCATATAAATCGTATTGTATAACTTTATATTATTTCTCATGTATTCATGTAAACATGCATATCATATTTTATTCATATATGTTCATATATACATCATATAATTCTTTCCTATAGTTCATATTTTATTTTCACATATAGCATATCACATAAATCACATAGCACATATCAGTTCATATAATCAAATATACATACATTTCATGTCATTCACATCCTTATAATCAATACTCCATATATTATAACTATTGGAAATAGACTTATCACAAGTCTAATTCCTGATAATCCTATAAAATAAAATGCACTCATAAGAATCATATTAATCATATAACATTTTTAGGAGTCACTTCTTACCTTAGTAACTCCGTCACTGGCTCATCGCAAGCCAATGTTTTTCGATAGCATAAGTACAATTAAATTGCACTTACCTTAGCCTTGCTTTGATTCGATCCTAATCCTTTGATTATTCCAGAACTTATTTAGGCTCAATATCTACATAATTATAACATTTCAAAACAATTATCAGAAGCCTAAACCTCAAACTTGATGTTAATAACTTAAGCTAGTTTAATGAACCAAAATTCCAAAATTCCATTTTTTTCTTTAGGGGGAATTGACACCCCCTAGGGGGGAATTTGTTCCCCCTGCACAAACTGAAATTTTCGTTCAAGCCCAGAAATCACTGTTCATTGCACGAAAATTCTCTATTTCCACATCAATTCTTCATATTTCATCCCCTTTTATATTCTTAACTCAAATATACATACTTAAACTAATTTATATCTATTTATTTCATCTTAAACCTCAAAATTCTATTTTCCATATAGAAATCAATAATCATACCAAAATTTCAACATGTTCTAATTTCAATTCTATCACTTCATATCTCTTAATTAAGATGATGACAAGTCGAATTTAACTTCAAATTCAACTTATCAATTCTATTTCAAAATTTCACTCAAAAACTCCAAATCTTTAATCTTCTCTAACTCCTTTATCTTTTGATTTTAAGATAACTTAAGCTTTCCTTAAGCTTAGTTATCATCTAATGATCAAAACTAACTCTTAAAATCAACAAATAATCAACTAAATAGAAACTCACCTTTGCTCAGCACGTTGGAGAATAATAGAGCAAGAACAAGAAGAGTTTTCCAGACACTCTCCCCCAACGTGTTTATCTCTTCTTAAAGAGATAAAAAAATATCTTTTATGACAAATGACCATTTTGCCCTTTAATTCCTTTAATAATTACTAATAACTTTAAGGAAATATCCACTAATAAATCATTGAAATATTCAACATTCCACTTTAATCAACAAATTCTGAAATTTTACAATTTGGTCACTAACCTGGTGTTGAGGATGTTACAGGAACTAGCATCTGTTTCCAAGCAAAAGCTTTTGTTGAAATCAGGTAAGGCTAACACTGGAGCACAACACATAGCCTTCTTAAGGATGAGAAATGCCTGCTTAGCTTCTTCAGTCCATACAAACTGATCTTTCTTTAGCATTGTAGTAAGAGGCTTACTAATCTCCCCATAAGCTTTAATAAACTTTCGATAATAGCCTGTGAGACCCAAAAAAACCACGCAAAGACTTCAAATTCTTTGGAATAGGCCACTCTTGAATAGCTTGAATCTTGGAATAATCTATAGCTACTACATGTTGAGAAATAGTATGTCCAAGATATTCCACTTCTGTTTGCCCGAAAAAACATTTACTTCTCTTAGCAAAAAGCTGATTTGTCCTTAGAATCTATAAAACAGTTCTCAATTGCTGCATATGACTAAGCAAATCAGAACTGTAAATTAAAATGTCATAAAAAAAACTAGAACAAATTTTCTAAGGTAGGCACCAAATAGATCATTCATAAGAGCTTGGAAGGTAGCTGGTGCATTAGTTAGCCCAAAGGGCATCACCTTAAACTCAAAATGACCATGATGTGTCCTAAAGGTTGTTTTAGGAATATCCTCAGGTGTAATTCGAATCTGCCAGTAACAAGATCTTAAATCCAGCTTAGAAAAAAAATTAGCTCCAGCTAATTCATCCAAGAGATCATCCACAACAGGAATAGGAAACTTGTTCTTCACAATTAGGGCATTTAACTGTCTATAATCAATGCACATTCTCCAGCCACCATCTTTCTTTTTTACTAATAGACATGGTGAGGCAAAAGGGATTTTACTGGTTTGAATGATTGATGCAACTAACATGTCAGCAACTTGTTTTTCAACCTCAGTTTTCTGATAGTAAGGCATTCTGTAAGGTCTTACATTAACTGCTTCAGTTCCTGTTTTTAAAGTAATAGAATGATCATGCTTCTTTCTTAGAGGCAGTCTAGTAGGTTCTTCAAACACATCTTTAAAGTCAGCTAATACTGCTTGAATTTCAGGAGGTATATCAGTGTTACTAACCTTTGCATTTAACATATAAATTTCCCCCATCAATTCAGGATTGTTTTTCATTAGCTTCTGCATTCTGGTGCCTGAAATTACCTTCATTGTAGCAGTATTCACTCCTCCTTTTAACACAATATCTTGATCACCCATTTTAAAACTAAGAGTCATATCATTAAAGTCCATCAATACTGGACTGTATTTCTTCATCTAGTCAACTCCAATCACCATATCACTACCTCCAAGAGGTAATACTCTGAAATCATGGATAAAAGTGAAGTCTTGCATTTCCCAACTGAGTTGTTTACTTTTTGTTGTGCTGTAAAGTTTATCACCATTAGCAATTGTATTTACCAATGAATTAGTTTCTTCCACTTCCAATCCCTCCTTTGCCTACCTATTAGTGACAAAACTATGAGTACTGCCACTGTCAATCAATATACTAAGTGGTTTCCCTTTAATGAATCCTTGGATCCTTAATGTGCTACTGCCAGAATTGCAAGTTATTGCATCCATAGAAATCTCATGATCCTTTTCCTATGTTGTCAATTTCTTACAAAAATTCTATAATGTTTGTAATTTTTCTGATTCTTCTTGCTCATCCACCTCTTCCATTGAATTTAACTGTTTCAATTTGCATTGATGGCCTGGAGTGAATTTATCCCCACACCTGTAACACATATTATTAGCTCTTCTATATTCCAACAACGACTGTTTGTTTTGGGCCAACCCTTTGTTTATTTTTAATGTTGAATTCAGGGATGAATTAGATGTTCTGTAAGCAGTGTTATACCCTTGCACTACTGGCCTGGAAACACTTTTTAATTTCTTGTGTTCCACTTCCAAGGATAGTTCATAAAGTTTAGCTTTCCTAGCAGCCTCAGCCATAGTTTTAGGCTCCAAAACCTTTACTTTATGTTTCAGTTCCTCCATAAGGCCACTCAAAAAACTTGAAACAAAATACTCATATCTTAATTCAGGGTTAACCTGAAGAAGAAATGGTTGAAGTTCTTCAAACTGAGCTTCATACTCTTCTACGGAAGATATTTGAGTTAATTATTAAACTCATCTATCACATCAGTATATCCTTTAGCAGAAAATCGATGACATAAATCAGACACAAATTCATGCCAGTAACTCGACTCTTCTTCATAACATATCCATCAAACCATACTTCTGCCTTACCAGTGAAGTATATAGCAGCAACCTCTAACTTTTGAAATTCAGGAACAACAAAAATAGAAAAATATTTTTCACATTTCCTGACCCAACTTCTAGGATTACTACCATCAAAGAACTAAAGCTCTATTTTGGGCTTCGAAAAAAAACATGCCAGTATTAGTGTTGTTTGGCTATTTTTCCAAAAATGGATAACCTTTCATTGTCGATTGTTCTGCATAATCATTTGTATTTACTCTTACTTTCATCTTAAAAGCATAATTTGTTTCAGTAAGATCTTGGTGAAAAGTAGGTTTTGGGGTTAAAATCCCTGGTTGTCCTGGTTGAAAGGAGTATTTTTCACGATCATCAATTACTGTAACTTGCAAGGGCAACTTACTTGTTTTAGTCTGAACTGCTGGTAATGGCTGTTGTTGAGCAGGAGAAGAATGGCCAGACTCTGTTCGTGTTTTCTGCATCAATCCCAAAAGTTGCTGGAGCAAGTTTTTAGTGTCATTTGTTGTTGTCTCCAAAGCCTGCATCCTCTGCTCCAAAGCACTTTGTTGATGAAGCCACCAAGTTGGAATTGCTTCGACATCAGAAGACTCTGTTGGATCAGGAGGAATAACTGGTGGTGGATCATTGTGAGTCATTTGTTGATTTTTCTTTGTTTTACCCAGTTTGAAAAAAAAATGGATACTTTTGGATAAAAAATAACCTTGCTCTGAATACCAATTTGCAATGATTTCGAATGGAAGACAGAAAGGATTTAAGAAAACAGACAAGAATAAGATGAAAGGAAGAACTTCATAATATTTTCAATATGATTTCCTTTGTTTTTACAACCAGAATATAGGAATTTGTTAAGAATTTAGTGTTAGTTGTACTATCCTTGTATAACAACTAGATTCCTTTAACTGATTTTATCTTTAAAATTCCATGGCAGGCTGTTGGGCTCATTTTCTTCACTTTGGGCTCGTTCTTCTCAGGTCCACTCTCATCTGATCCAGGCATCCCGTTCTTCTCTTCAGGTATATTTCCTGCTCCCACTTGATCCATCAAATTAAATCCCTTTTTCCCCAAAATCCCTAATTCTCTCATTTTCCCCAATTCCTTCTCATCCCTCTCCATTTCTACCTCATGGTTCATGACATAAACCTTGAGCTTTTTTAATCCAAAGATGCTTGAAAATAGCTCTAATCAAATCCTTAAAACAAGAAAACAAAAACAAAGTGATTTCAATAACCCAAGAAAAATTAAATAAATATTTAGGGAATATAGGGGTTACTGGTTCGAAAGTGGGAGCTTCGTTGTTGTCCATGGCGCAAGTGATTCGCTTCCACTCTTCAATTTTGCCTCATCGCCTCCTGTGCATTTGAATTAGTCGGAGTCGAGTTAAAATAAAAAATTTCAAATTATTCAAATGAAAGAGTTTTATTTTATAATTAAAATTTTTATTTGAATTTTGTTCAAATCGAGCCTAACGTTTAAAATTTAAGTGGAATTGAGATTTCAAGTTTATGTTTAAATTTAATGATAAATATTTATAATATTTTGATATTATTTTATTCTAATTTAAATAGTTTTTTTTATAACCATATGCAATATATATATTTTATATTTTATCCATATGTGATATATATATATATTATACGGATCTGATAAACTCGATTCAAACTTAAAAATAAATCTACTAATTACAAAATTTTTCAAATTACTCGAGTTACTATTCGAGTTACTCGAGTTGTATTTTATAATTAAATTTAAACTTAAAACTTTTTCGAATTGAATTAAATTTATAAAATTACAACTTTAAAGTCTACATTTGAAACCGTTTATTGGTTTAAACAAAACCGTTGTTATTGAAATTTTAAACAATAGATGAGAATCGTAAGTTCTTTTAGCTTAGTGGTAGAGTATAAGTTCTGTTTGTCGAAGGTCACTAAAAAATTTAATTGTTGCAGACTTGCAGTGAATATAATAGGAAAATGTTGCGTTTAAAGAATTATGTCCCTTAGTTTTGTATTGATAGCAAACCCTGATTAAAAATGATTTTAATTTATAAAGTTTTAATATTTTATTCAATATTTTTTTAACTGATATATTTTTAATTACAAATCTTTTCTAATGAATTACAACTATTAAATTAATATTTTGTTATTAAATCATACATATATTAATTTAATATTTACATTATTCAAAGATGAAGCTATTTACTCGGTTTCAGAATTTAATTTAATCTTCAAATCGTGGAGAACAGTTGTTGTATTAATTTAAAAAATATATCAGATTAGTTCTAATATCGAGATATTTTAGTTAATGTATTTTTTATTTAGTTAATGTATCGACTAAAGCTATGATATATATATATATATATATATATTTCTCATGTGATCTGTTTTAAGGCGTTTTTTCTAAAAAAAAATCATCATTTTTATTTAATATTTTCGATTAGACATCGTTCAAATTATATTTTACGATCTAATATCCTTCGCAGGAAGGTGCGTCCCATGCACCGTGTTTTACGCCACGTGGTCGAAGATGCGCTCTCTGCACCGCGCCTTACCCAATGTGTAAAAAACCCGAGTATTAATTTTATAAATATTTTTAAAGGATGTCAAATTTGTAATTAATATCTATTATGATGACATTTACGTAAAAACGTCAGCATTATTTATTCTTGGTTTTGAATTATGCAGACGCCCACACCTCGCCACGTGTGTCATTTCCAATGTTTAGGCTTTGGATATATGATATAAATATAATAGATCAAATATTGGTTTTGGTCACTCTACTATGTTCGATTTTAAATTTAGTCATTTTTTTATTTGATATACATTGATACTTTACTTCTATTAGGGATGAATAAATAAAAAAAACAATTAACTAAATAAGACGAACATGTTTAAATCTATTCTTTTTTATTTCACTTTATGTAGTTTCAATTATCTATTTACTTTTAGTTTTGATTTCAACAATTCAAATTAAATAAAATTTTAAGTAATATTACCCACGTTCCACTAAATATGTTCATTATTGACTTTTTAAAAGTAAAAAAATTTAAACTTTGACAATGATTATATTAAAAAGATTAAAAAGTAAATTGTATAAAATATATATTTCAAAATTACATTGATTAAAGGTTTCTGACATATATTTTTATGATTTTATCAATAATAATTTTTAATAATAATGAGTCAAAGTTTAAAAATTTTGACCCTGAACCAATTCTAGAACATTCTTTTATTAGCTTGGGCTCTATATCCCTGAACTAATATTTTAGATATTTTTTGTATTTTTACTTGATAAACTATTTTCGTCTCCTAAAATTTTATAAGTTGTTATCCTCCAAAAATTTTAGAATTTACCCTTTGAATTATTGAAATTTCATTTTAATTAGATTTTATTTAAATCAAATTATAAGGTGGGCAAATAACTTGACAGGCTTCTATTATAATAAAAAATGAAACTTGATGAAATAAACCAAGATTTAATTACTTGTAAAATATTCAGGTAGTGTGATATAAATAAATGAATTCGAGTTTGAGTCGAGGTGTGGGCGGTTCTGCACAATTTAAAACCTGACGTTTTTAGACAAATGTCACCATAATAGATATTAATTACGACTTTGGCACCCTTTTAAAAATATTTACAAAACTAACACTCGGGTTTTTTACACATTGAGTAAGACGTGGTGCAGGAGGCGCGCCTTCGACCACGTGGCATAAAACGTGGTGCAAGGATGCGCCTTCCTGTAAGAGTATTAGATCGGGAAATAAAGTCTGAACGGTGCCTGACAAGGAAATATATAGGGTTAGGTTGATTTTTCGGGGAAAACACCCTATTTTAAAGCTATTTATTATCTTTAGCTAATACCACTCCAAATTTAATCCGCTCACGTACTTTCTCTTGGATTCAATTGAAAACCCTGTGATCATACTAATCTACATTTTCCTCCCTTTTTTTTAGTTTTCATGCACAGTTCATCGACCCATGAAAGATCTTTCATTCTTTCTTTTTAAGAACTCGATTGGGGCCAAGATGAAGAATGTGATTCGTAATTTTTGCAACGGTGATGACTCCACCTCCACTCTCAATCAAAACCCCGGCGGTGCGTCTGTTATTGCTTCGTCGGACTTCATCGTTCCACCGTCGATGGTTGCGTCGAATACGACCGCGCAAAGCCCACGGACGACGTTGGAGGAGATGATCTTAAGGTTGGAATTGGAAGAAGAGCTTGCTAGAAAATCCAAACTCAATGAATATTATCATTACAACGATGTCCGAGGTGGTCGGATGTCGTGTGTTAACAACTCCGACATCCTACGATCTGCACGGAATGCGTTGAATCAGTACCCACGTTTCTCCCTAGACGGAAAAGATTCCATGTATCGGTCGTCGTTTAGAAACCCTGAATTCATCCATGCAAGGAACTCGGTTTGCTGCGATTATGGACTGAGCGAAAGGTATTACAAGGCTCCGTGCTTGCCCTCAACTTTGGGTGGCGAAACCGTGATTTGGTGCGAACCGGGGGTGGCGGCGAAGCTGATGGGGTTGGAGGCGGTGCCGGTTCCAGTGACGATTACTCGGAGAAAGGATCTTAGTAATAAGAATCTTCGAAGGAGAGTCGAGAGACAGGAAATGGAGCCAAGACTCTCCATGGACGAGGATTTCGAAAGAGGGAAGACCGGTTCTTGTTCGAACTCGGGTTACTGTTTGATGAAACCGGTTACCGTGGACCCGGCACACGGTGGTGGTGGATGGCCAACCCGGCGTTTTCTTTAGATGAATGGTTTACCTAATTCGAATTAGAGGGTCTAATACTATATTTTTTCTTGTATTTATATTTGAATATTTGTGGAATATGAATCTAAATATTAAAAAAGATCATATAACAAATATCATAATGTGTAACATTAATGATATACATCAATATATATGACAAATATTTTAGAAAAAAATCGTTAGTGGGTAATTATTCTACGACATTATTTTTAATCATACGTTCTATATAATTTTGACTGTCACTACATCATTTTTAATCTATTTTTATTTGTGTTAATATAATTTTCATTAGGGTTTTACAATAGACTTAAAATCCCACTTTGTACTCAGTCTGTTTTTCTCAATTTAGGAACAAAGATTTAACCTCGATCAATTTAGTCCCTCAACTTTTTGTCCTTAACTTTGGAATTTTGACAAATTAGTTATTGATAAATTTAATTACACTTCAGTTGAGTCCATAAAATCAATCCTTTTTGCAACTAAGCCCTTTAATTTAGTATAATTAATCCTCAAAATTTCTAACCTCGAATCAGGGTATGATAGACTCATTTTAATTTGACTCAAATTATAAAATTATTAAAATTTAAAAATTATCATATAAACTAGTAAATAAGTTGGATATAGTTAATTGAATCATATGTCCCTAAACTATGATTTTTATTTTAAATTGGTCCTTAACTTTTGAGTCTTCTAATTTTATCCTTAATTTATGAATTTCATTTTAAACTAGTCCTTAAACTTTTGATCATTCTAGTTTCATCCCCAAACTATGACCATCATTCTAAATTAGTCCCCAAACTTTTGAATATTTCAATTTATCCCCAAAGTCATTCAAATATGTAGTTGGTTTCAAGTATAATTTAACCTAATTTTTTTCAAACATATATTGTAACATCCTCAATAACAGATTAGTGACTAAATTGTAAAACTTCAGAATTTGATGACTAGAGTATATAAATTGAAAATTTTAAGGACTTATATAAAAAAATTTGTATAAGATTGAATTGCAAAAAAGGAGTAATAGAAGGATAAAGTGGTCATTTGATAAATAAAATAATTAAATTAGGTAGTGGTTATATTTAACCCACGTGGAATGGAGGAGGCAAAAGCAAGTTTCTAGAGAACTCTCTTCTTCTTCTTCTTCTTCTACAGGCATGTAAGCTAATTACAAGGTGAGTTTCTTGTTAAGTGATTATTCATTGAATTTAAGTTCGGTTTATGTTCTTTAGATGATACTTAAGCTTAAGGAAAGCTTGAGTTATCTTAAAATCAAAAGATAAGGAAGTTAGGAGGGATTAAAGAAAAGAGGGGAATAAGTGATATCTTGGAAGAGGGTTAGTACATAAAGTTTGAGACTGGAATTGACTTGTCATCGACCTAATTAAGAAGTATGAAGTGTTAGAATTGGAATTAGAACATGTTGGAAATTTGGTATGATTCTTGATTTCCATATAGAGGATAGAATTTTGAAGGTAAAGATGTGTTAGATGAGTACAAATGGATTTAAGTATGTGTACTTGAGTTAAGAATAGGAAAGGGATTAATATATGAAGTGTTTAAGCTGAAATGAGTAAATTTTTGGGCTTAAAATGTAAAAATCTGGGCTTGAGTATCGGTACAGCTTCATCCAGTACAGATACTTCAAGAGAAAAATAAGGACATTTGGTATAGGGGTATCGATATTGGTTGAACAATATCGATACCATAAGTCTGAAGTTGGTAAAGGCATTCATGAGGTATAGATACCAATGTGTAGGTATCGGTACCATAGTATAGTAGTATCGATACCATGTTAAGGGTATCGATACCGAAAAATATCGAATCTGATTTTGGTATCGATACCTTGGGGGAGTATCGGTACCCTATAATAGAAGTATTGGTATTGTACTTGTAGTATCGATACTACTTAAGTTGGGAAGTTAATATTAGTATTTTGGTTAGTTTAAATTAGTATGAATCTTTTTCGAATATTTCAAATCCCGATATTCATTAGATTATATTTGTGTAGATATTGAGCTCAAACAAGTTCCGGAACAATCGAAGAATTAGAAATGTCAAGAGAGAGATAAAGTTCTAGAATTGATTCGAATCAAGTAAGGCTAAGGTAAGTGCATACCATAGTTAGTATAGATATTGTTGTATGGAAAAAAGACTTTTGATAAGTCTATTTCCTATAGTTGAGTTCATGATTTCATATTCATGTACATGCATATATTATGATTATAGTGAGTACATGCATTATTCATACATGTTTTAATATGGTATAATATGTGATGCATGTAACCATAAGAGAATAATTCTAAGTTATGTATGATAAGATAAAGGATTATATATGTGCATGTGATGTGTTTATATGAGAATGATAGAAGTGATTTGAAAAGGTGTCATGTATTCATATTTAAGCCCATGTTATATGATATGAGAGCTGTAGGTATAATTGGCATGTCAAGAGTCAAGGGTTATAAGTGGTCATTCGTGACAAATTTTAAGTGCCCTTAGTGGGAATTTATTCGAGCTGTGGTGACAGCATTGGTGCACAACCTCAGTGTACTCACGTACCTCTTGTTCTCAATAATGTACATGGGCATCCAAAGATCAATTGAATTGAAACTCTCATAAGGAGTTAAGTTTCATTTGTGCATGTCATGAACATATATGTTATAGTTTAGTAGATGCATGCAAATTGTAATATCACAATGAAATGATAGTGATGCATACTTCATGAATTCATTATTATATGTTTACTATGTCTCACTAAGTCTGTGACTTAGCGTGTAAGTGGTTTACATGTAGGTACCAAGAAACAAAAGGATCAGAATTAGGAGTTGCAGGGACAACATACCTCTACTAGCAGATCAGATCATAAGTAATATGCAAAGTAGGTATTTTGTTGTATCAAGTGTGTTGGCATGTAAACAAGTTGTGAATTACATATGATCTGATCGATTTTGTATTATTTTGGTACAACTTATGTAAATTAACTAATTTTATGTTAATGAAAGTTTAGATTTTCATGATTTTTATAAGAGTCACATTTTTGAAAAGTCAAATGTGACATCTCAGATTTGTATCCGGGTCGGGTAAAGGATGGGGCTATTACATATATTAACATAAGTTGCCCTAACGGTTTTATTAACAAAGGATGTGATTAGTATATACGTATAGTTTGGGATGAAGTTTAAAAGTTCAAAATGTTTGGGGACCAAATTAGAATGAAGGTTATAGTTTGAGGATGAAAATGAAATGTTAAGAAGTTTGAGGACTAATTTATAATGATATTCATAGTTTATGGATGGATATGTAACATTTAAAAGTTTAGGGACTAATTTAAAACAAGTCATAAAATGTACAGATGGGCCGGGCTTCAATAGTTGCTGTCCGGTCCATTTTTCATTTTACGAAACCGGTTTTGTTGTCCAAACCTTCTCAAGGACGGATTTGAAATCGTGGATGGATGGTTGAAGTGTGCGGGACTCTGAAAGCTTACCGGTAAAACTTTCATTTTCCAGGAAAATACCATCGGATCATCATCAATCTCATTTAATTACTCTCAGTTTCTCCCGACCATTTCGACCTCTTGCTCAAAAGCAATTCCGATTCGATTCTTCCACCGTATAAAACTCTGCTCCCATCTGATCTTATTATGTAAGTCAAATCAATTGGACTGAAGAAATTGGAAACGTTTTGTTTTCTGGGATATGAAAACGTTTCCAATTCGATTCAGCCCATTTGAATTCTGCTTTCTTTCTTACATTATTTTATTGAAGTTTAACTTCGATTTACTAATGTTCGAAACTAATTTGTTCAATTTTTTTCCAGGTCGCAAGAGGAGGTAGCCAGGCGAGCTATAAAGCACGCATTGAAAGCGCTTAAGAAAAGGCATTTAGTCGAAGAAGGAGCTCACGCTCCTGCTTATATTGCTCTTTCCCGCCCAATCATTTCCCAGGTTTTCTTTCTCGTTTTTATCATATATTAATTGATAGTTATGAAAACAAGTCGATTCGGAATTAGGTATTGGATGAATCTTTGGGTTTTCATTAGAAAAATGATAGCCGCTAAGCAGTGTTGGGTGATTGGTGAATTTTGTTATAGAGCTCAGAATGGAAAGAGAAAGCTGAAAATTTGGAAATGGAACTTCAACAATGTTACAAAGCTCAATCCAGATTATCTGAGCAGCTTGTAGTGGAAGTAGCTGAATGCAGAGCTTTAAAAGCTTCTCTACAAGAGAAAGAAACAGCAATGGCTGAAATGGAGATGGAGTTGACACAAACTAGGTTTGATTGTGTTCTTTTTTTATGGTTTGGCCAGCAAGGGAGATGTTTCATTAGATTTGAAGTTAATTTGAAATGAATTACCGATTGATTGTTTATTATGACAGGGATGAATGCTCTCAGTTAAAAGTGGATTTAGAAGAAAAGGTTAGAGCTTTAGAGTTAGTGTTGAGCGAACGTGAAGAACTCAAAGCTCAACTACAACAACTGACTATTAGAGCTACAAATGCTGAAGCTGAAAATAAGAAGTTAGTCGATCGATGGATGCTTCAAAAGATGCAGGATGCTGAACGGCTTAACGAGGTAAAGTATTTCAACTTCTTCTAGGTCTGGGATTTTTTCACATTCCTTCTAACTTTGTCACGGTTAAGAGAAGACTAAATGAGAAATAATGTTACTTAGAATGATACAAGGCAACAGTCCCTTGATTTTGAAAGAGTAATTTACTTATCCATATGCCTGTTTTAGATTATCGAAGTATTAGTGGCTAACTTAAGTTCTCCTCTAATTAACTTAGGCAAATGCGCTGTGTGAAGATATGATTGAGCAGCTCAAGGTTAGTGGTTTGGAAAAACTTGCACGAGAGCAAGTAGATGGTATTGTCCGTAGAAGCGAAGAAGGTGCTGAGTTCTTTTCAGAATCATACGTTCCTTCTGTGTGCAAAAACAGGATCAATGCTCATGAAGGTGGTTGTGCTTCTATAATGTTTGAGAATAATTCCAGCAGACTGATCAGTGGAGGACAGGACCGATCGATCAAAATGTGGGATTCTAGCACTGGATCATTAAGTCATAGTCTTTTCGGCTGCCTTGGTTCCGTCCTTGATCTTGCAATTACACACGACAATAGATCCATAATAGCAGCAAGTAGTTCAAACAACTTGTTTGTATGGGATGTCAACTCAGGACGGGTTCGTCATACTCTCACCGGCCACACAGATAAAGTGTTTGCTGTAGATGTGAGCAAAGTTTCAAGTCGTCATGTTGTGAGTGCAGCTTATGATCGTACTATAAAAGTATGGGATTTGCAAAAAGGTTACTGCACTAACACAATAATGTCTCACAGCAACTGCAATGCTCTTTGCTTCAGCACCGACGGACTGACTATATGCTCAGGTCATGTCGACGGTAATCTTCGTTTGTGGGATATCCAGACGGGGAAGTTGCTTAGTGAAGTCGCGGCACATTCACTTGCTATCACATCTCTCTCTCTGTCCCGAAACGGAAATGTAGTATTGACTAGTAGCAGAGATAATGCACACAATTTATTTGACATCAGATCTTTGGAAGTTTGTGGTACATTCAGAGCAACAGGAAGCAGAGTGGCATCAAACTGGAGTCGCTCGTGTATTAGTCCGGACAATAAATATATTGCCGCAGGCTCTGCCGATGGGTCCATCTACATTTGGTCAATCTCCAAAGCTGACATAGTAAGCACTCTGAAGGAACACACTGCTCCTGTCCTGTGTTGTACATGGAGTGGAGTGGGAAAGCCATTAGCCTCTGCTGATAAGAATGGGGTTGTCTGTACCTGGACATGATCGGTACAATTTGTCTGCACTTGGTTCCGTCAAGTGTTGTTCCATAGCCCACTGCCGCAATCCGTGGTTCAGTTCTGTTCCACCACATTGTCTATTGAATATTCCCTACGGTCAAATTTAGTGAAAATTTATTAGCATGACATCCGTTATGTAAGCAAGTGTGATGTACAAAGGGATGAAAAGTTCGTCCGATATCTTTAAATCCTTCCGAGTTCGGATTCAAGAAAGTATTGTGGATGTTGTGAACTTAACCCCTTGAAAAGCACATTACATTTTAGAATGGTAATTATAAAATTTTAAGGGACGAAATTAATTAATTAGTAGAGAAAAAAAATTAAATTCTCTTAAAAATTTAATAAATAAGCATTTTCAGTTTAGAGATAGATTGAGAGGCATTAACACGGAGATCATTTTTAAAAATATTAAATTATCATATAATTTAAGTATTTTTTATTAATATTTTAACTTTATTTATTCAAAATTTTATATTTTTACAGTTACTTTAATGTAAAATTATGTGTCTATTCTTATCCACAGTATTGTTGATCGGTAAATTACACTCCATCTGCTTTCGCATCCCGGCAGCAACCATCGGTGGGATTTAAGCCAGCTACATACACGCAAACTTTAGCAACTTTGTAAATGATTTATAGGCTATTACAAAATTGTTTTATAATATTAAAAAAATATTAAAAAATAAAAAATATTAAAAGTTATATAAACAATTATTGTTAATATATATATAAAAAATATAAAAATTATTATGAATTAGAGATGGCAATGGATCGGGTTGGATCGAGTTTTTAACCAGTCCAACCCGACCTAAGAAACATACACCTTCCACTTGAATCCGACTCAAAAAATATATATCGACCATCTGATCTGACCTGATCTGATGAGCATATTCCCTTCACATGAACTCAATCTAACCAGATTTTTTGGATTAAAAACCCGCATCCAATCAAATCTGACTCGATATAAATACATAAAAAAAACTTTTTATTTAGTAAATAAGGATCTAATTAAAAAAATACAGAGATGAATACTATAGCAATCATCCCTAAATTTTTAGAAGAAATTACTTCAAGTCGAGTTGGGTCGGGTCGGGTCAAAGATTTTATAGCTCAAACTCAAATCCAACTTCACATTCTATAAAATTCGTTATAATAATTAAATGTGATATTATGGACCAAATTAAAAGTACCATGAACCGAGAAGAATTAGAGTTGCAATTTTCCCAAAATTGTTAAAAAAGCATGGGTTCTGTTTTGGTGCTAGTATTCAATTTTTCACATCCAACCGCATGAATTGCTCCTCCTCGTCAGTTATTAGATTATTCTCCACAATTTTCATAACAATAAACCAATAAAAGATATGAGAAAATAATGATAAATCTACTACAAGAGCAAACGGCCAAAAAAACTTAGAACGAGAATGCATGATGTTTTCATATGTGAAGATTTTAGGGTTAGAATTACTATCACCTAAAACTTTGAGTATTAATTTACAGTACCTAATATATTAACTATATTTAATTATAAAACTATTTATGTATTTTATTTAAATTCGATTTAAACATGGTGCAACGTAATTTTTGTTATTTATACAAATGGGTAAAGTATATAAATAGTCCTTCAGCTATAGAATGTTGCTTTGTTGAGTCTCCTAACTATTAAAAGTTATAAAATGGTTCCCAACTCAAGAATGTTGTTTTGTTGAGTCCTCTGGCTATTAAAAGTTACAAAATGGTCATCTGACTATTCATATGTTCCAAACTCATTTTTTTCTATAAAAAAAATTGACGCTCGTCTAAACTGGACATTAATTTACTTATTAAGGTATGATAAGATCATATCTTAATGATGTATATCGGCTTCACCATTGCTTCCAAGGATTAGCTCGGTGGTATAATATTTCAAGCACTGGCTAGAGGACATAATGTAAACAGAGAGTCAATACACAAAATACAGCTCAAACAGTTCTGAGTCTAGATTTTATCACATTACAACCAACATGTTAACGTCTAGTTCAGACAAACGTCAAATTTTTAACAAAAAAGTACGAGTTTAGAACATATGACTAGCAGGATAATTTTGTAAACTTTAATAGTCGAGGATTCAACAAAGTAATGTCCTATAGTTGGAGGATCATTTTATAACTTTTAATAATCAAGAGACTCAACAAAGAAACGTCCTTTAGTCGGGAGACCATTTGTGTACTTTACTCTATACAAATTTTCTTATAAACTTAACTATTAATCTTTAGTATACTACAACATTTAATCTTGAAAATTGTTACTGCTCTAAATTCAATCAAACTTTGATCCAATTAAATTTATTTGTAAATATTTTTATTAGTTTCGCGCGCTATATTTTAATCTTAAACAACATAGAAGTGTTAATACAATTGAAATATTTTGATTAAATGTGAATGCAAATTCAATTTAGTTTAATCAACAACCAGTTGGTCTAGTAGGATGAAGCACTAGGTCCCTTAAGCAAAGTCAATGGTTTGAATCCTGACGTTTGAGAATTGAGTAAACTGGGTTGAGAGGGTCGCCCTCTCCTCTGCAGTATCCGATCTTGATTAGTCGGTCAATACATTAGATACTAATGATTAATTAAAAAAATTGATTCAATTGGTTAACCGTCCATTAATATTTTAACAATAATTTTATTTGAGTTGCGATCTATGATGCCACTAAGAACCCTTTATAAGATGTGACATGATAACCTCCTCTAACCTAAACATTTTATGATTAAGAAAAAGGTATACAGATCTATTAATGGTCCTCACAACCTAAAATTATATTGAGTAAACTATTCCAAAATTCGATATTCCATACCCAATAAGACTGGTTTCTCAAACCCCACCCCATGAATTAAGCAGCTAAATATGAAATAATGATAGGAAAGAAAAATAAATTTGTTGATGAAAAGATTGATTGTGAAATTACATGATACCATACATGTGCAAAGGACAAAAACTATTGGCTGAAAGAGTATGACACGTGGCTATGTTGCTGTAAACCCCGTGTACGTGGATAAGGGAAGTTGTATCATTCTTTTCACTCACTGTCTCAAGCCTGCCATCAAAAGACAACTTTAATTAAAGCATGGACCAATAACCTCTGAAAAAGGCCAACTAAGAACATGGAGATGCCTTTTTAATATGTATATTATTTGGAGGGTTTTGCTAAATTAATAACTTTAATCAATGGATGGAGTGAGGAAACCCTCTTTTAGGAGTACCTCGCATACGTAGATTTTATTTAAAAATTAAGGTTCGAGGGTTATTTTTATCCTTGTAGTAGAGTTAATTTATCATTTTCGTTTATATCTTATTTCAGCATCAATTTAGTTCTCAAATTTATTTAATTATATCATTCTATACCTCACCCCTAACTTAAAACCATAAATTGATAACTCTAAACCTTAAACCATATCCACATAATCTCTAAACTCTAAACTTTAAACCTTAAATTTAAGGTTTTAAGTTAAAGGTAAGTATATAATGATGTAATTAAACAACTTCGAATGTTAAATTGATGAGAAAATATGATATAAGAAAAAATGATAAATTGAGTCTATTACAGAGACAAAAATTACCCTTTTTCTAAAAAAATATTTTATAATGATAAAACTTTCCATTATTAGTTTTCGAAGATAACAAAGAACTAATTATCAGTTGATAAAGTGTGATAGAGTTTTAGGTCTTTTAAAAAAAAGTTAGAGATTTAAATCCTGACATTGTAAATGAAACAAATTGAATTAAAAAAAAATTATTCTGTAATGAATATCTACAATACTTAATCTTAATTACTCAACTAATGAATCAGATATTAATAATTAGTTATGATCCACTTACGCCTCGTATAAAACTTTTAGTTTTATATAATTTTAGGATCGTTAGATGAGGAAAATCAAAATCGGAGATTAACTCATTTTTTTTAGTGAATATCTTATTATTTCTTACGGTTAATCTCAACATTTGATTTCTCTCATCCAACGATCATAAAAAAAATGTAGAACTAAAAGCTTTATAATAAGTGTAATTGGATTCTGCCCCTATCAACAATAATTAATAGTTGTATTTATATTCATTAAAAAATATAAATCAATTTTTAACATCAAATAACTTCCTTTCCCGCGTAATCCACATTGTAGTATATCTAAGTAATACTTTCTTTCCTCTCGTATTTAATTTACAACATTTTTCTATTATTCTGAATTGAATAAAAAATAATATTTATTTAAAAGATTTTCAATAATTTGATAATAAACGTCCATATATCTCTACATATGATGTTTTCGAACTTAAAACTTTAAAAAAATAACATTAATCTTTTAACCAATAAAATTAATTGGTTAATATTTAGACTTTCACGTTTTATGGTTGAATTGTTGTCCGTCTTTTGTAAAAGTGGGTTACGACCCACCAATATTCCAATACCGACGGCTGCGAGCACCCTTTGGATCCGTGATCAACGGTTGCGATTCCACATTGAGGTAGAGAGTATCAGAGGAGAAAGTTAAGAATCCACGTAGCTTTCAATAGAGATGTGTGGGCTAAATGCTTAACACGTGGCTGCCACTTTCAAAGATTCACAATAACACACACACATGTATATATTTTCAGATATAAATTTGCGGCGAACTTTGCGGCCATAGAAAAATATGTTTCAAGCAGAAAAATAATAACAAAAATGATATTAAGGGCCTACAGAGTTTGAATTATAACAAAAAAGCATGTGTGGTGTCCTAAGAAATTTTAATTTAATTAAATTCAACAACTGATTTTAGGAATCCATTAAATGAATTTAATAGTTAAAAAGGAATATTAATATCTTTAAAATTTTCAAGTTTGTATAACTACATTTGCAGGTTGTATGTGTGTTGTCAATAATTATAAATGATTATAAATGTATATTACCTAATAATTACTCTATACTATTCAAAGAAAAAAATGATTTCAGTGATAAAAGGTGAAATATTTTAAGTTGGAATAATGTTTAATTAAATTTAATGGATGATTTTAATAATAAAAGGTGAGATAACTTTTAGATGAGTTGAGTTTTAACATTATTTTTAATTAAAAATATATATAGATTTATTAGATTTATTTAATTCAATAATAAATTACTTTCAAATAATCGAAAATATAGTTAGGTGACTCTTTTTAACTAGTAATAAAAATTGTACTTTCAAGTATTCATATTTAATGTGAATTTTCATAAATTTACAACTTCCATCTTCTTGTTTGTTGCGGTAATTTAATACCAAAAAGCAGAATTCGTGAAGTGAATTTAATAATAAAAGAGAACATTATATTTTTAGAGGTTCTAGACTTATACAATTATATTGTAGAGCATGTGAATATTGTCAATTAATTCGTAAATTTTAAATAATAATTAATTCGTAAATTTTAAATAAATATTATTTTATAATCATTCTATACTATTAAAAACTAATAACAAAAAGGTAGATAAAGACAGTGCGACCAAATCAAGCAAAATGTTAAAAGAAGGGACCCATAAAATCCGTCAAATTTATTGGCCTAAATCAACCAATGCTCTTCGTAGTTTAGGTTTAATTCCCCCCCCCCCCCAACAACCATTTCCTCAGTCTCTCTTCAATAAATTAAACTCACATGTCTCAATGAGATTATGTATTCATATTGTATTCAAGGTAAAATTTTATTAATTTCGTGTCGACATAAAATTCAAATATTTTCGTTTTAAACTCGAATTTAATTATAATATCGGAATCCGAACCTAAGTATAAGAGTAAGACAACATAGAAACAATGGAAGGGGAGAGAGTAGGATTTTGTAAGATGACAAACATAAGAGAGTAACTTTTTGGCAGTGATTGTGTTGGTTTTTTATTGTCTAGAGACAGCTTTATTCAAAGGGCTTGCTTAACGGCCAAAACTACCCAACTGGAATCCAGTAAAACCTGAAATCACGTACACACAGGTTGACCCTACCCTACCATGTTTTAGTTTAATCACGCCATTGAGTTCGGCTTTAATCCCCTCTATAAAACCCCTTTCCTCCCAAGCTCAAAATACATAACAAAAAAAAACCCAAACATGCCTATCCATCCACTTTCTTTCCTCTTCCTCTTCACTTCTCTCCTAATCCCTTCTCTCATTTCCTCTTCCCCTGTTCAGGACCCCGAACTCGTAGTCGAAGATGTGCATAGGTAGATTACGATAACATATGTTACGTCTGCGATTTTAATTATGATGTTTAAATTATCACATTATGTGTACTAATAGCATTTTTGTTGTTGTTATTGTTGTTGGGGCAGGGCCATCAATGCATCAAGGAGGAACCTTGGATTTCTATCTTGTGGAACCGGTAATCCCATCGATGACTGCTGGCGGTGTGACCTGAACTGGGAGAAGAATCGGCAGAGACTAGCCGACTGTGCGATTGGGTTCGGGAAGAATGCCATTGGTGGAAGAGATGGTAAGATTTATGTTGTGACAGACTCTAGTGATAACGATGCGGTGAACCCCAAGCCGGGAACTTTACGACATGCTGTGATTCAAGACGAACCATTGTGGATAATTTTCGCTCGAGACATGACGATCCGGTTGAAGGAAGAGCTTATCATGAATTCGTTCAAGACGATTGATGGTCGGGGTGCCAGCGTCCACATTGCAGGGGGTCCTTGTATAACTATTCAGTATGTGACCAACATTATCATTCACGGATTAAACATCCATGACTGCAAGCAAGGAGGGAATGCTATGGTGAGGGACTCCCCCAAGCATTACGGTTGGCGAACCATATCGGACGGCGACGGTGTGTCCATCTTCGGCGGTAGCCATGTTTGGGTGGATCATAACTCCTTGTCCAACTGTAATGATGGTCTGGTTGATGCCATTCATGGGTCCACCGCAATTACCATCTCAAACAACTACATGACTCACCATGATAAAGTCATGCTCTTGGGGCACAGTGATTCCTACACTCAAGACAAGAACATGCAAGTCACAATAGCCTTTAATCACTTTGGAGAAGGGCTTGTCCAAAGAATGCCTAGGTAAATAATCTGAAACCCGAAGCTCGAAACATAGTATAAATATAAAATTCAAATTTTAATATCGGTAACATTTACAGATGTAGACATGGATATTTCCATGTGGTTAACAATGACTACACCCACTGGGAAATGTATGCCATTGGAGGAAGTGCAAACCCAACTATTAACAGCCAAGGGAACAGATTTACAGCACCCGACGCCAGATTCAGCAAAGAGGTAAAAAAAATTAATCTAATACACTCTAAAATGTGGAAAGTTTTGTTTTCAGTTCATTTATAGTAAATAATTGATTTGACTATGTTTCATGCAGGTGACCAAGCATGAAGATGCACCGGAGAGTGACTGGAAGAACTGGAATTGGAGATCGGAAGGTGACCTGATGGTGAACGGTGCGTTTTTCACGGCGTCGGGCGCCGGTGCCTCGTCGAGCTATGCCAAGGCTTCGAGCTTGGGTGCTAGGCCATCTTCGCTGGTGGCGACCATAACGACCAATGCTGGTGCTCTTAGTTGCAAGAAAGGCTCTCGTTGCTGATCGAGACATAAGATAGAACACGCACGACACTTTGTTAATTACGAAGTGATTGAAAAATACATGGTGTTTGACTGCAATTAAATTTAGCTTTAGAAAGGGGAAAAATGAAGAAAAGGCTGCCCATACAATTAATTTATTGGCTTTTTCCCCTTTCTATGTACCATTTTTTTCTTGGTTCGTTATTCAAATGTAATGATCATTACAACCTCGGCCAGATTCTCATAGAACATCGAGGGATTCTCTTTCAGAATCTAGATCAACTATGAGAAAGCAAGTGTAGATGTGTTGATATATATATATACTAAATTTCATGTTATCTTTATTTATTTTTCTTTTAATATTTTATACACGTGTAAAAAATAATATTAAAAACATATATCTTATTTGGTCGTCAAGATAATTTAATATTAATGATAAAACAAACCCATATATTCGATCCAAACTACCACATATTCACATTATGGTAAATGAATTTAAAAATAACATCCATCCAACTATATTTCTTCACTTAATTTTAATAAGTATGAGCAGACCTTAAAATCAATGAAACAGAGCATTGAAGGGTAGATAGATGAGAAGCTTGAATTCCAACTGCTTTTGAAATTTGAGTTGATTTAAGTGAGTAGGAAAGTTCACCCACCGCTCATACTAAAGTGTGGTAAGGAAGGAATGCATGCGGATATAGAAAGTTATATTTAAAATATAGATATACATAATTATAAGATTTTAAAAGTGTAAAATTATATCATTAATAAAAAATATTAAATAATTAAATTAAATAATAATTTGAAATTTTTAAAATATGACTTTAACAACCCTCGGTCTCTCCTTTACACACTAAAACAAAATTTTCAAATATAGAATTACAGTCGATGACTAATTACTTTTTTTTTTACCATGTAGAAATGATCACGTAGTAGAGGCTAGTTTGACCTAATATTTTAACTTTAAGGATCAATTCATCGAGTTTGATACGTATTTAAGCTTAATTTAATAATTATTATTTTAAATTTAAATCCAATCTCGAATAATGTTTGTTTAATGAACAACTTTTGATGGAAGGGTCCGCCCCTACCCTAGGACTAAAATTGGCTAAGCTTCCAAAAGTGTCATTTTCTTGATTAAAGGGAAGCAGCAAAGACTCCGCAACTGCCGGTAGCATCAGAGCCTAGCCCTTGCACATGCAAACTTTCAAAGCTTTACAGTATAAAGAAGCCTCTCCTTGTCATACATAGGTTTAATAGTAAATATATTGTCTGTAATTAAGTGTGCAAGTTATGAAGGGCTCTAGGGTACATTTGGCCCTGTCATGCCCAGTCAAATCAGACATTCATATTTAGGGATGGGCATGGTCGAATTTTTTGTCAACTCGATTCAATTCGAAAATAAAAAATTCTCCACATGAGATTCTAATCCTACCAAAATAAGATTTCACCCGATTTAAATCCGATTCAGATTCCCTACTCATTGGCCAGGGGTCGCATCACTTATATAGTGATCATATGATGCAAGAATAAGGGACATCCCTGCCCTCAAAACCTCAAAGAAAAGGGACCCCTTTGGTCCAATTTGGTTAGAAATATTCTCCCATACATGTTAAATTGTATGGCATAAATTGTTGGACAGATGATGATATGAGAAATAAATAAATAATATTGTTATTGAATTGAATAAAGTAAAAAAAAAAGACAAGATAAGAAATTATTTATTCGTCTATGATTATGAAATTGGATGGATAGAATTATTTATGTCTATTTACATAGTTTTCTTAAGGTAAATTCATTTATTTCTACAGTGTTGGGGAACATTGGTCGACTATCTACCAAGATATAATAAAAAGAAGAGTATAGTAGTAATGCGACTGCAATGATCAACAACAATGACCTAGCCTTTTTTTATCACCAAAATTCTTTGAAATTAGAAAAAAAAATATTTTTTTATGTGTTTTACCTTGCAAATTTACACAGTTTAGATAAAAGCTTCACACTCAAAATTATTGAAAAGTTTAAATAATGAAACAGCTAATATCCAAGAATTAAGAATTATTAATGCATAATATTCTCATGTATTTCTTTTTCTTTGGTGAAAAAGGTATGAATTCATTAGAGAAATTATCATACACACGGAGTACTATCAGTACCTCGCTAAACCCCCAAACCTAATCAGAGGAAAAAGGTACAACTGGTAATACTAAGACAACAAAATAATAGACTTAAACAAAGCCAAAGTACTAAACCGTGAGATGCAACTCATCATGCAGCAACAAAAGAATAGCATCCGGAGGATTGGGCGTGTATTGAACATCAAAAATAGAATCAGTGGCCAACTTAGCTAAGGAATCATCAAAAGTAGCACCCAGAGGATTACGCAGGTATTGAACATCAAAAATAGCATCTGGAGGATTACATAGGTCTTAAGAGAGATGCCCTTATAAGAGTAAAGAATAAAATTTTGTATTGAATTAAATATCCGTAAGCTCTTAGAGGATACGATCGATCCGAACATTTCGCATCACCTATATCATGTGAGTGGGTCTCCAATCCGATAAGTTCATATTCACATCGATTTGCATCCTTTCACTTACGTGCTTGTGAGGGAAAATCTTGTTTGATCATTCAATAACACTCAAGTTAGTTCATGTATATGAACATATCTCACAATTGTATCCTACAAATGTGGAATATAAGCTTTCCATTTTCTTCCACATTTTTTTACAATTAACTAACTTTGAGTATCAAGTTCTCATTTATCAGACAATCATTTTGAACATATGTTTTATCATTGTAAAATTCTCATGGAATAAAGCATAAAACTATAATTTTATGATTCAATATCCATATTTACCCATTGAAAATATGTATCAAAGTTTTCAAAAATTCATTTTTCCAACATAAATATTGAACCAAGTGAGTGGTTCTCAAACAGGGACATGAACCGGAACTGCCTTCCCCACAATGGGATTGGGGCACCACCATTGCCTTTTCCTTATGCCAAACATAGACAACAACATGTCGCATATAGACACAAATTTCTTAACCAAAACCAGGACCAGTGTTTTTTCTCGAGAGGTAGGTATCTCATCGCGGCAAGTTTAAGCATTGCGCAATAACGTCGCTTTACTATAAAAAACATGGCATGTGATTGTGCAAAATGAAAAAGGAAAAAAGTGGATGATACGTTTACGTGACAAGTGTTGGTTGAAGGGATGTTTAATTTAGATAAATATGTACATAAATATATGTCATGTCGCACTATTGGGCAGATGGGTTAGGAGTGGAGTTGAATCTTTAAATGCATTATCTTGATGTTATGGACCCGACCATGTGGAAGAAGGTTAGTGCGTGGGGGTGTCTACTTGGAACACGACTCGAACCCAATTGACTATGCAAAGATGACACCTCACTTTTGAACCATAATTTATTTTTTATCCAGGAATAGATTGAGAGAGATTAATAAAGACAATCGTTCTTTCTGAAAATTTTGAATTCATATATAATTTATTATTTATATTAATAATTTATTTTTATCCTCAAATTTTTATAAATTTTTTATTTTAATGTACAATTTTGTGTATGTCTCCCAACGAAATTTGCTTGAGATTAGGAGTAAATATACAATGGCAGCCGCGGCCGTAAACTTGACCCAACTTATGGCAGCGGTCTATACGCGATGACGGCGAAGATGAAGGTCTTGTATTTTTAGGTGGAGAACATGGGGGTTTTGTAACATGTGGAGAAACAGCCTTTCTAGAATAGCAAGAAAAACAGCTCTTTGCCATGTGATGCACGCTTTGTAAGGCACTTGTTATTCAATTAGGTGCTTTAATTTTATTGTTTTATCTAGAATTAGGTGGTTTAAACTATGGTCTTTGAAATCAATCAAAGGTATTAACCATTACTTTCATAGGTTATTGGCATTAATGAAGTATTGAATTTTTATATATCTTTTCAATTTTTAATATTTTATAATTTTAAATTATTTTTGACATAACATGTAAGGTAAATAGTGTAATGTCAACATATAATAAACATGGATTATCTCATTATTTTCATTTTACAATCATTAAAACTTAATATTTTAATCAACAATCTTTAGAGTAAGTGATTAAAAATTCTCAATTGAAAATTTATTCAAAAAATTAATATTTTAGTCACCATTTTAATTTAAAAATGTTTTTTTAAAGTTGAATATAATTAAATTTAACTAAAAAGTAAGAATCAATTTGATAATATATATATATAAACATTGAGAGCTAGACTTACAATTATGTGGTTATTAAACGATATTTAGCTCAAATCTTACATATTCTAAAATGAATATTTATAGGGTTATGATGCATTTACCCCTACTGTAAAACTTTTAGTTTTATATCTTTTAGGATTGCTCGATGAAGGAAAATTAAAGGTTGGAATTAACCTTTTCTTGTTTTTCAAGTGAATATCTTCTTATTTCCTATCGTTAGTCTCAAGTTTTTTATTTCTACCATCTAACAATTCTAAAAAGGTATAAAAGTAAAAAGTTTTACACTATGTAATTGGATCCTAACCCATATATGAATATGATCTAATTATATAGTGTAATTTTTTGCTAATTTTACACAGATTTAAGATCAATGAATGAGTAAAAATAGGCGATTGATGTTAACAATAGATATATATATATAAACACACACGAGGATTGATTTTTGGAAACAAACGTTTGATGCCATTGTCTATATAATCGGACAGCATTTGATGATTATGTTTATTTGTACAAGGAATTGTATTTCTTCACCTTTGAAGCAAACAAAAACATGAACACAAAACTAATAGCAACCGCATGGACCAATGTTATTGGTAAGGAAGCTGGTTTATACTTGGGCTAGACTTATGGTTTCAATGGATCTTACCACTCTGAAAAGAACATAAAGTGGATGGACTTTGTCCAATATAACATCTTTTCATTGGGGCAATGAAGATTTGGCCCATTCATTTCATTTTTTAAGGATATAATTCACAAATTAGTCTTCTAAGTACACTTGTTTTCTCACTCTGCATCGTAAACTTTTTCTTTGGTCTCAATTTGGCCCTCAAAGTATATTTGTTTTTCCATTGTACACCATGCAATAATTTCAAAACGAGTATACTTTAATGTATACTCTGCGATTTTAAATAGCGAGCTTTGCGTTAAAAGACATGTTCTAGTCTTTTTGATTCCAAAGTTAGTTGAAATTGG